AATCAAAAGAATTATCTGAAGCACAACCAGATTTATTGAACAAAATCATTGTATATTTCAATTCACAACAAATCGTTCAAACAAATATACTAAAGTCTCAAGACCTTACTTTAATTCTGAAAGGGCATTAACCATCCAGCATTAACGCCAATCCAATCTACATTAAGTGTAAGGAGGATCACTTTAGTTAGCATTGTAGATAGGTTAACATTAATTTATAGATATTATGTGAAGATGTTTGATATAACTCATGTATCATATATATATAATTTAATAAAGACTTACATCTAATGCCCTTTTACGTTCAAAAAAAAAAAAATTATTAAATACTTTAAAAATTTTTTAAAAAATTTTATATTTTTGTAGCAAGAAAAAAACTTAATAAAAATTATAAACTTTATCAATATTATTACAATATAAAAATATTAAAATAATATAATTACAAAATAAGTATCTTTATTGAATAATTCTTATTCAATTAAAATATGTAATATATATTTTTATTTCCATAAATATAAAAATCATTTATTTATAATTAAAGTTAAACAAAGCTATCAAATTAAAAGTAAAAGTAAAATAAATTACTTTTAATAAAATATTATATTTTAAAATAGATTTTGATATAATAAAACTTTAAAATAAATAAGATATAATAATAATTAAATTATTAATTATAAAAATTGTTAATTAAATAACTTTTAAATAACAATTTAAGAAATTAAATCAATTTAAATTTTATATATTATTTGGTTTTGTTTAATTTGTTATTTTTATTATTTTAAAAAATTTTAACTATTATTAATTACAAATATTATTAAAAAATATAAAATTAATACTTGTTTAACTTCTTGCTTTTTTAGTATAAAAAATCATAAATATTTATTTAACTATAATAAATTATTCTTTATTTTTATATTATTATTAATAATTTACTTTCAATTAATTATTTAAGCTACCTTTATTATTCTTCAATCCTTTAATAATATAACAATTACTATTTATTCTAACATAATAGATTTCTAATATTTTATCTTACTTATAATCTATACTAACAATTTTAATTTATAAGCTAATTTTTTACTAATTTTATTTCAAATTATTATTGCAATGTTATAGAACTTTCAAATAATCTGTAAAGTTTCTTCAATATTAGATCTTTATATTTCTGAATACATTAATAAACAAGTTAATGATTTTTTCTTCAGATATATTATTACAATTAGTTTTGCTATCAAGTTAAATTAATTTTGTGAAACTTAAAAAAAATAATAATTACTACAAAAGTTCAAAACAACATAACAGTAAACACTTTACCACTTACCTTACAATTAATATTCTTTATTTTCTTGCTATTAATTAATCACTTTAACACAACCAGTATAACCTATTAAATCAAATTTGTTAATATTTACACTAACCTGCTTGACCTGATATTAAGTAAATCTGCCATTTACAAACTCAACTCTCTTGAACATTTTGACAACATTATTCGAGCAAATGAAAAACAAGAAGAACAGATCCAGATTATAAAGCAAGTTCATCTTAATATTAAAAAACAGATAAAACAAATAAAATAGATAAAATCAATAATAAATAAACAAATTATTGTTTAATGATGAATTTAGCTTTTGTAATAATTACACAGTATAATACAAAATCAGATTTTTTATCTATGACAGAATAACTGAATTTGTTTTGATGATTTTTTTTAAGATTATATTCATATTACAATCAATCTTTTTTATATTAATATTAAATAAACGGAATTATCTCTTGTATATACAAAATACATTTGAGTAATATTTAGTTGATTTGAAAATTTTAATATCATTAGTATATAGAAATTTGCCTAATTTACTCAAGTTCCCAAAGTCAGGCCAAAACCCGATCCTTCATTAAGTATTTTAGCAAGATATTTCTGCACCATTCGCGTCCTGATCCATTTCCACCTTGCATTATTCACATTTAAATGTTTTTTGATTCGCCAGGATCTTTTTTACGAATCCATAATTCCCACATGTCTTTGATTTATACTCTTTGGTAAATTCAATGATCTTGTAATCTCTGAACTCCCTCGATTTATTATGTAAGAATATTCGAAACCTGAAATGCAACTAAGTTAGCATCGCACAAACAGTCCTTGACCAAATCTTTTACTTGTTCTTCAAAACCATCCTCGAAGACTCAAACTTACATAAGAATGATCTCGTAATTTTGACATAACCAATAGGCCAGCTGATGATGGCACTCACCAATTAAATTATCAATTCATTATATAATTCGTAGCATCTTTTTTTCAATCGAAATCTCTTCCTTTTGTTTGTTCTTCCAAAGCAAGATTTTTGTCGCTCTGGAATTTGTCATATTTTTTAGATAAATTAAACATTTTATTAAAATTACCATTGCCTCACTCGATTAATTGAGCGTCAAGGTCATAACCGGTCATAAACGTACGAACACCTGGATTACCTTTCATCTTGGTTATCGGAAACACAAGTAAAAATGTCCCAGATGATTCACAGATATGGTAACCGTATTGTTAATATCTAGTGATCATTCTAAGGCAATAATATTCTTTAGGAACGTATATTTCCCTCCATTTCTATTCCGATCCCTTCCCTAGCAAGAATCGAGATGGTTTGTGTTTGATTCTTCTTTGATCGGTACTTCGTTTGAAAATTATTTCTATGCAACCTCTTGTTTGTTTTGTATCAATTATCGAATCATGTACAAACGTGCTTCCCTAGGGATCTCGTTCATACAGAGGAATTCTTCAGTTATAAAGCATCCATCGTTCAGTTAGTGCTTTCGTATAACGCTTATGTCGATAATTCCATTATCCTGCACTATCTTAAGAACCTAGTTATACGTCTGTTTCACAGTTCATATCCGTTTTCTTAACTTTTCTCTTCAGGTGTTAGGTAAATATGTATCTTTCGTATTTTCAATTTCTCTTTTTTGTTTTCGGTTCTCGTCTGATCCGAGTCCATTGTGTCTTGTCGAAGAGATTGTAATGATAGATAATAGGTTCTTGGCAAGCTCACCAGATTTGATGCCATTAACGGTGACATCCGAACCAAGTACCGTAATTCTTGTATTGCTCTTGCCAAGAATCCATTGTATGCAAATCTGCAGGGTCGATCCTTCCAGATAACCATAACCTTTTCGATATATCTTATCAGAGTTGTTCCGAGGCCTGACCCGATGCCCGCCTTTCTGTTTGAGGTACTCGCATTGCTGTCAAGATCATCTTGCTGTTTCTCTGAGCTAACTCTTGCATAATGGATCTTCTTCTAATAAAATTGATCTCTTGTGCCTCACGATACTTTGTTGTTGACATTATCTTGCTCAAAATGCAAAAAGAATATTGAATCAGCAACAATTTTGTAATAATGATAATTTAACACTGGTTGCCATCAGTAATAGGTAATTTAAATAACTACTATTATCAATAATAACATTCAGTAAAATAAATAACAAAATAATAGATTAATTATTAATATTGTATGTTTACATACCGTGATATTTATTGTTTTGTATACGATATGTATATATACTGTATATAATATGTTTAATTTAAACTATACTGTGTTTTTTTTTTTTTTTTACAATTATTATTAATAAATGACAAGGACTTGAAGTCGCAAAACCAACTGATGAATAGCTTCTTTGTCAATGAGACTGGTGGAAAAAGAACCATAACTTTCCTAATAACAAAATAACATGCACATATTTGATCTTGGAAAAAAGAAATACTTGTTTACTTTGTATGTACTTCTCCATGTGTAGGTTGTCGGAAACATGTCTCCTACATTTTTTAAAGTTCGTGACAATATAACCATCTAATGAATCAACACAAGGCTTAAAAAGTGCCTCGAACTATTATGTGATAACCAAGAAATTAAAGAGAACAGTGATCTTAAATCACTCAACAGAATATTTATCACAAAATAGTCGCGAAAAAAATCGCTTCTTGCTGATATGCAAAGTTCATAAAGCCCTCCCTCCAATATAACTATATCAAAACTGCGATTTGGAAAAAATAACTTTGGGATATAGACAGAAGGGTTTTTGATCGAATTGCGTCTGAGAAACATTTCAATATGTCGAATGATCGAAATGCGAAAACGTCCTCATCGGTGATCCCTTAAAGTTGCAGCGAGATAGTAAGATAGGAAAGTAATTGATTAGAGCATAAATATAAAAAGTTACCTAATTAGCCATTTCGAGCAACCATACAAGACAACAACGGAGAGGCAGACCAGTGTTATTTTCTGTGTTTTACTTAAGTTAAATAGATGCCTCTGTTGTTGTGAATTTGAGAATCGCACAGTCTTCCTTCCTGCAAACGGAAGGGATAAGATTTTTTCGGCTTCAGTGTAATCGATAGGTTGACCATTTTCGATAGTAAGCCATTGATTTTTGTATGTGTTTGTGCAACAACTAACAACGTAAAACAATAAGTAATATAGTATATGATAATTTAAATATTTTGACGGACAATTACTTCTCATATAACGAAATCTGAGCGTATTTCTGCAACGGATCAGGTAGATATTTCTTGTAGAGATTCATTGTTTGAAACACTAAATCATCAATATCGATATGTTGTGGGAATTTGGAAAGTAAAGAATGTACAGTAGAAAATTCACATTCTTGCGATAAGAGTTCTCCACGACGCATCAATATAACCTTTTTTTATAAAAACAAAAATGGTCAGGTCAATCAACATAAATATGTGTGAACAATCGACTAAAGGACACGTACCGTCGCCGCCATATAAACAGGCATCAATGGGTCCGAAGCAATAAATAAATCAAAAAGTCGCGTCACACTCGAAATATTTTGGATGTCGTGACTACACCAGGTGATATACCAACTTATACAAAAGTGACTCATCACACCCGAGCTACAAGTATTGAAGGAAAAAAAAAAGTCATCATGAATAACAAGGAAAAAAAAATCAACAGGTAAAAATAGAATAAGGGTCTGTTACGTTTCAATAAATTTGGAAACTTCATGATCTTCGAGACGGACAAGATCAAAAACAAGTGATAATTGATCCAATACAAGGTCTAGTGATGGCATCATGGCATCTGTATGTATAAAGTCAAGGAAATGTTTACGTCAAAGAAGCTGCAATAAGTACATATATGCTTTTTTTAAAAAAAGGATATCGTAAAAAGAACATGGCAATATTTTCGCCTGTCCTAATCGCCTGCTCTTTGCCTAACACCAGGAGCAAAACTGTACAAATATCGTGAAATCCCTGGTAAATTAAGCTAGATATAAGGAATGCATTCCGGAAGCATTCAGGAAACAATTAACGTCAGCATCTTAATAATTGCCTGATAATAGGATAGTTTCGGATGTCTTCGTAAAATTTCGACTATAACATCCCTGAGATCATCACGATACCTCTTGCGCTGAGATTGAGTTACCACTATTAAGATAAGTTGAATGTGTACAGATTATGAATTAACGCACTTGCGAATAACAAATGTACACGATATTTGTTATTTACCCTTTGGGAAATTTACAAGTGATCGTTCAACGTCCAATTCCACTTGATATTCGTCTTTGTGAATGGTGACTGGAAATTCAAAGTTTTCATTGTGAATCTGGATTTTCTCCCGAAATGTTGATCACACTTACCTTGACTTTCACCGGAACCAGGTTTCTTGCCTTCACTGGTTTCAATATTCAAGAGTTTCGGCCTACGCAAGACGAGAACGTTCGTTAAGATGGTGAGTTCTATGTTTCAGCTTAAGTCGCTTTTAATTGCTCCTCCAGAACTTTACCAGGCGCGACGTCGTATCCCGTCGTTAACGAGACCAGTTTTCGTTTTCGCCAATTGACGAATTTCCGAGATATTATTCGTTTCGATGGCTTCGTTTATTTTTCGGATTCGTTTTCGCAATACATCATTTTTGTTCTTTTTAGCAAATGAATTAACACCTCTATGCCGCAACGAAACCTTATGACTTTTGGTCATTGATAGTGGAAAAGATCTGAAACTTTCGCAGGAAGTTTAATGAGAGACTACGTGTACGTATGTACTGTACATTATTATATACAGTAAGTACAAATGTGCTTTCAAAGATCCCCGATTTGTGTTACATAAACCAATCTACTGTTGTAACGTAAGATCATTATCATGTAAACTAATACACTACGTATAACCAATAACAAATGATATAGTTTATATAGTTTAGAATTAGTTTTTCGGTGAACATCACGATACTTATCACGCACTTATGCTTAAGTGACGTTATTTTCATGATCTACTCGTAAAACTTACTTCATTGTGTGCGTGTTCAATGTAAATATTTTTTTTGAACTAGAACTTCTCTTTCCCAATCAAGCGCTATTGAATCAATGGAACCACAATTAGAAACAAGAACAATACCCTGAAGATGTAATCATCATAATGTAATGCACCTTACGAACTCACACTTGCTGAGAAAATCAGGTGAAAGTTTTTAAAAAGATCAATTGCAGAACCAGTTTACGTAATAACTAGTGAAATCAGGTTTGAGCTCAACTAATTCTTGGCTGTGCATGCAATGAAATTCTCAGGATTCCAAAAATCAAAAGAAAACCTATTCGAATACTCGAATACATTATACCCATCGAATCATAATTTTATTAATACGTGATCATCTATTTTTATTTTATGGCGTGAGAGTTCGATCCTCATAACAAGTGATAATCTTGCATCGCAAATCCTTAAGACCCAATTACCTTCATTGCACTCTACATATTCTCGGTGTAATCGTTTTTCTAACCTAAATTATTACGTATTTGTATTGAATTTACACAAACCATACCTCTTTAATGTTGAGTAACGCGTATGCAATACGGATCGCATTCCCATTTGCTTATAAAAATATACCTGCAGAGACAGATCTACTGTGGTCACAAAAAATTTTTGGAACACACTGCACATACGTACACATTTAAATTGATGGTCAATCTGCCATAGGAACTTGACAAATATTTTCTTTTTTTTTCTTGTACGCCTGAAATTTTGGTATACCATTTCAAAATGTCAAGCCGAAAATCAAAATCCAAGAAGTCGGAATCCCCGTCTCTTCCAATTGAGACAATTGAAGAAATCTTCAAGTACATCACGAATCAATCGACCCTTTATTCATGTCTCTTCGTCAATCGCCTGTGGTGTCGTAAGATAGTTCCCATCCTTTGGGCTCGTCCGTCGCCTCTCTTGTACAAAGAACGTTCCGCCAAGAGCCTGATTGAATCTTACGTCAGCTGTTTCGATCACGAGGAAAGGGCGATCCTATTTGCCGACGACGAATTAACCAGCATGGTTGACGACGATTTGCTACACCTACCGAGTCCATTGTTTGAGTACGCCGCTTTCCTAAAGGAATTAAATTATCCCATGCTGAGGATGGCCGTGAGAAGATGTTACCGAAAGTTAGGGAATGAAGAATTTAGCAAAAAGATTAAGCCAAGCAAACCCGCGTTGAATCCGAACAGGCAAAATACCGTGATGAAGGCTTTGTGCAGATTGTTTATGAGAAGCGCAACTTTAGATTGTGTGGTATTGGATTCCGAAGAAGATATCCCAAGTGTGGCGATGTTTACCAGAGGTCAGTTAGCTCCTCTCGTGAATGTCACTAAACTTGTACTCCAGATAACCAACAATGCACCAAACATCTTGGGCCTCATAAGGAAACTCCCGGCCATCTGCACCGGTATAAAAAATTTGACCATAGAATTTTCTGTGGATAATCCGAATGAAGCAGAAAGTTTGGCCACCATAATTTATGCACAACAAAATCTGATGAATGTCGAATTAAAAGGCACTTCTCCAAAAATTGTTCCCATCATGGAGGCGTTGGGAAGTCAATCAAGAACATTGACGTCTGTGAAATTTGAAAAGATTGATTATCAATGGGCGTCGCTTGAAGTATTAGGAAGGTGTACAAATTTGCGTAATGTGGACTTCGTCTCTGATGATTTGAACTCCAGAGTGAATGAGGAATATACAGTGGACCAGCCAAAGCAGCAGTCTGGAGTAAATGGTGCCGCATTCACCCTGCGGTCCCTCAAACTACAAAATCAAGCTCCATCTTTCTCGGCTGCGGTCGTCAAGATGGGTGGAAGCAGTCTTAAAAAACTTACGCTTGACAAAATATCTACGGAGATTGTGCAAACGATCTTAAGATCGGCTACCCGCATCACGCATCTTTACCTTGACATCACCTCCTCGCAAAACCTGAATTTTGAGAATCATTGTTCACTCATTGGCGGTCTGAAGCTAACCTTCCTTCGACTGACCTCATCCAATAGCTCCAAAGAGATCGATACTCTATTAACACTGCTTATCAATAAAATGCCAACTACCTTAAGATCTCTAGAATTAGAGCAAGAATTCTCTTTACCACCGTTAGGTGCTTTCTTGGAAAAATGCGACGCACCGTTGAAGGAATTAACATTATTCCCAAACACTGCCATTGATACTGAGTACCTAACTACTGTTATGAATTATACCAAAGAAAAGAAGAGCCTGAAGATTTTGAACTTAAATCTGTCATGGGAATCGGGATTGGTGAATGGAAGGTTCACCAGGAAGATGACAGATGAGTTGCAACAATGCATCTTCACGGTTCATCTAGATAAACTTCGGAACATCGACTGATTTTATTTAATAAGGCAGGTTAAAATTTACCTATACCTTTTAATACCTGTGACATTTACACGCTTATTTATTACAATTATCAGTTCTTATCCATTCTATCCCATTCTATTTAAATCAAATGCATTAATATGGTTTTTCTTCATGATGTGAGTTTATCAGATACGGTAGAATTGATATCTACGGACGTTCATATATTCTCATATTCACGTGTTCGCGAATATATTTAAGTTGGAAGTTCCTTATCAATATCCTCTCGTCGTGAGACCTGTCATTCGATTTCTTTTTTAAATTATTCTGACTTAACAAGCAAAGTTTGAAACCTTTTTTTTTTTTTTGTAAATATTTTCATTGAAATTTTCCCGACTCTTATTTTATACATAAAAACTTTCACGATTTATCATTTTTCTTTTAAAAATCTCAATTTCATATATGCCAACAAAGATGAACGTGAATGTTATCAACAGTTAGTTCACACTCGGGGCAAAGTTCATGAACAAGAAATCATAAATCTATCATTTCTAAATTGAAGGTCAGAGCGTGTGCAGGGTTATATCAAAAATAAACGAAATTTACTGCAGCATGATAAAACCATAGTGTATAAAGTTTTAATCATTCAATCAACCTATTCTTACAAGAAACCATCATAGAATATTTTAACATAGACTATTTTATTTATTAAGATTCGCATACAATTAGAAATTATTTATAATATCAAATACATCATTTATCTCATTTATTTATAACATAAACCTTGATTTACAAATACTGTACCTTATCAAATATTGACAATTTGGTCACCTGATGGTCATGATTTGATGACCAAATTAAAGATTCGTAATTTCGTGACAAAATCTTATACTGTATATTGATGGCATTAAAATTGTCAAATCAATAACAACAAATTGTAACAACTTTTGATTACAAAATGGTGATAATGACATGATTATATGATTAATAAAATATAATTATAATAATATAATTTCAAGATAACTTATAATGACATTATTGTAAAATAGTAATAGTTTTATTAATCAAATAATAAAAGAAAGAGTGATAATATAATAATTATTTTATTTATTATAAAGTTTATAACTTCAAAAAATTCAATGATTTTTTTATTAATAATTTCTTATAAAACAAATTATTTTTTTTAAAAAAATATATATTTAACAAATCAAATTAAAAAAGTAACAAAAAAAAATTTTTTTTTAATACGTATTTCTTTTATCAATTTTTTCTTTAATTTATAGTTCCTTAACTGATAATCTTTTAATCATAATAATCTGATAATCTTCTAATTAATATTTAATTAATAATTTTCATATTATACAGTATATATACTGTATATGTAATATAACTTATTTTGTTATTAAAAACTTTATATTTATTTTATTAAAAAAATTTTTTATGATAATTTTTGTTAGAAAAAATATTATTATAAACAAGCTTTAACTTGAAACTTATAAATCTTTAAAATAACAAATATAGTAAAATAAAATTTTTAATTAAAGTCTATTCAAGTTTAAAAATCTTGTGTAAAAATTTAAATATATTTCAACAATTTAAACAATAAGTTATATTTAATTAAAAAAAAAAATTATAAAAAAACATAAGTATTTAAAAAATATAATTATTTTATTAATTCAAATATATACTGTATATATATTTCTTTTTTATAAATTATTAAAATTTTTAAAATAATTATTATATATACTTTTTTTTTATATTATGTTAATTATTTATATTTTAATGGACTGGATGGCAATATTATTTGATATCTATATTTAATCAATGCAACTTTGATTAATAGATCCTAAAAATATATATTTGGTTTTGTGAAGAAAGAAAAGTTGTAATACAGTATATTAATATAGTTTTTATTAAGTTTTTTGTAAATAAGTAATTTGTGTTTTTGTTCAAATTTATAAGCTCTGTCTATTGGGTTGAATTTGAAGTTAAAGTTATTTATAATAATATATAAAATGTTTTTTGATAAATCATCATTGATAAGTATTTGAAAATAAGAGATAATTTTTTTTCTTGTGTTTGTTTTATGAGAAAGATAAACTTGTGTAATATAAATTTTTATTTTGTATTTAAACTAAAAAAAAATTGAAATAATATAGTTTTGTAGAGATGGTTTGAGAAGTTTTTGTTAAGTATTATTATGACTTCTGTTTGACTTTGATCAAAGTTACTTGAGTGTATAATGAAGTTTTGAATAATGTATAGAATTTTTTTTGTGGTTTGGAGTTTTGTTTCTAAGATATTAAAGATATTGTAATTGTTATTTTGATGTATTGAAGAAGACAGTTGAGTTTTGTATGATTATTAAGTTCTCTTATATTGAGAATACCAATTTCCAATAGTTATGACTTTGTGTTGATAAGAGGTTTGCTATGTAATTTTGAAAGATCTTTTTTAATTGAAAAATTTTATAATAGTTTGTTTGTATTAATTATTGTTTGAAAAAGTTAAAGAATTTTTTGAATAGTTCAAAAAGTTCAATTTGGAGAATGTATTTATTGGTAAGTCTTTGGAAGGCAAAGTGTTCTCCAAGTTTGCAAATTTTTGAGATGAAATTAGCATTATTAACTATAGAAATATCCATTCAATTGTGTTTAATTAGATATTTTTTTAGTTTGGAGAGGCTTGGAATAAAAGGTTTCTATTAAATTTGAATCTAGTTATTTGTAATTTTAGAAAATTGATAATGTTGATATGTTTTGATTATATTTCTTTAAAAAGTTTTCTATTTGTTATTGGAAAGTTAGTATTGACTTTTTTGTTAAAAATATTATAATCCTTTGAAAGAGAAAATTTGACTGATTTGTTTGGAAGTTTATGTTTGTGTTTTGATTTATAATATCAATTTATTCTTTTGGTAAAGAAGTTTGGAAGCTAAATTTTTTTGAAAGGCTTTTGAGAAGATATGAAATATTAGCTGGATTTGTTACTGGCAAGAAGGTATTTATTTCAGGATTAAGAACTTTGTTAGATGATAATGGTAATTTTTTTCTAATATAGAAAAGTTATTTAATAATAGTTTGAAGTAATAGATTTTGTGAAGAAGTATAGTTAATTTTTGTATAATTATTGTGCTGTCTCTGGAATTAACAGAGAAGTTTTAATATAGTATTTAGGTTCTAACAAATGATAAGTTAATAGAAGTGGTTTTTTTAATGACAATAGTTTGAAATAAGAGCTAGAGAGGTGAAAGGAACTTGATAATCTTTATGAATATAGCTTTTTAAATTAAAAAGTCTAATTAATTTATTATAGTTCTTTATATTTTGATAAGAGGTCAGAGGAATTTTTAAATAGTAGAGGATTGATTCTAAAAAAGCTGTCTGAAAGTTTTTGAAATTTGTAATAGGATCTTAGTATATATAAGGTTAAGATAGATTTGGATTTGTTTTGCATTAATAGGTTGTATAAGAGTTTAATTTTTATATTAGTTGGAATTTTGTTTGATAAAAATAGAAGTTTTGAAAGTAATTTATCTACAGATTTTTTAAGTTTATCTTTGAAAATTATGTAATAAATAAAAAACTATGGTTTATAAATAAAGTAATTAATAAGATATATAAGGAGGCTGGCTAGTTTGTAAAAGAATATATTATTAATATCAATAGTTCTAAGATAGATAATTAATAGAATAATGTAGACAATCACTTGAAATTTCTTTTTTGTTTTCAGATTGATAAAGTTAAGATTGTATTCTTTTTTATATTTTTCTTGAAAGTCCTTTTCAATTTCATTAAATTCTTTTTGATAAGTAATTTAATTTCTGTTTTGAAAGTAAAAGAGTTAAAGAAAATATGATCCTTGAAGTTGAGTTTGTTAAATATAGTGTTATATATCGTTTCTACCTCAGGAGAAAGATAAAGATGGAGAACTAGTAGCAGGGAGGCACTTTAGATGGACAGAGCCAATGTGGTATGTTAAAGTTCCTAGAGGCATACAAATTGGTACAATTCTGAGGTATATGAGGTCAGGCAAAAAAGGCAATAATGATTTGTTTTGTAAAGGTCAAGTTATTTATTTGATAAAATATATGTTCAAGCCTGCCAATTCCTAGACAAAATTGGAGCCTTTATATATATGTTTGAGTTATATTATTTTTGTACATGATAAATATATACTATGGTAAAAATATAAACTAAGATATAGATACTATCAATATCAAAATATTCAACTGTATTAGCATTTACATAGATAAATACTTTGGCAAAAATAATATAGAAAGTAAAGATAAAATAAAATAGAAATATTTTAGAAATGATAAAGGTACAATAGATACAATAGATGCCAAATGTGCAGTAACAGATCTGTAATACAAAACTATTCTAGAATAACTAACATTTCAAGGGTCAATGCTAATGAAAATTGATTAAGGGATAATGAAGATCTTGGGCGAAAATCAAGTATAACAGTATAAAAGAAAGAAGAAATAAAATAAAGGAAAAATAAGAAAATTCAGTTAGAAAAGTTTTTCGACCAATATCAATTCTGCCTCACCATAAATACTTACTATTATTATGCGAATTTAACTTCTCATTAGCGACAGACTCGCCGACCACTGTTACACTGGAATGGCTACTATTTATTGTTCTTAAGCAGGTTATATTGCTTTGATTCTATTCATTATATTTGCATTCTGTGCATTTCTATAAAAAGAAATTACCAGCTATTCTCAGGAAGTATTATACTTGAATTTGATTGTTTTTTAATTTAGTGCATTTGTTTCTTTTCCCTATGTACTCTACATTGTTTAAAATTGTTGCTACAAGTTTTGTGTTCTTAAGATTCATGTTATCTATTGCTTCCAGCTATTGTATGGGATTTGGCTATGTTAGTTCTATGATATTGCATGTGTATCTGTTTGTGAATAGGTCCATTATGTTGTGCTGGTCTCTGATTTCTTTGAACTATTTGAATTGTCTTTCTATTGGCTAAAGTAATATTAAAGTAGTATTGTTAAAGCCCTATTCTATATA